TAGGGTCTTTGGTGCTATCCGAGTTTGGGGATTTTCTTGCAGATGTTTTGTTACCAAACTACAGTAAGTAACATGTTCGGACCCCATCCTCCGTCCAGTAATGAAAGCCGAGACAAGCGTAAAATGCCCTTTAATAACAAGACCAGAATCAAGTAAACAAACAGATAAGGACCTTGGCAGCAAGTCCGACAAACCTTGGCAGCAATTCAGACAAACTCTGGCAGCAATCCAGCCTGCCAAGTTTGTTTCTCTTTAGTCAAAGTGTTGAAGGGCGTGGCACAAGCAGTCTTTTTTATAGTCTGGAGAGGAGCTTAATGACCATCAGCTGAGCATAATTACCTCCTGTAATTACATAGTTCTTGACGCTGAGTAGCTCTTCGACGGCGTGCATCCTGGAACAACTCACTGTTGGTTTCTGAATCACTCTCTCTTGTCTCCTCCCCACTGATCTAAGGCTCAGGAGCCACCTGATGGCCAACCAGTCTCTCTGCACCCTGCTTAGAGTCAGAACCCTGTCCAGGGTTCTCCACATCCTCCAGGGCCGACTCATAGGGCTCCTCGCTGTCGGAGTCTGGTGGCAGCTCCAACGGCTCCTGCCAGGCCACAACACTACATTATTAGTATACTACCAAGCTCTGACAAAACCAAGAACCTAATAGTAAATACCCTGTTTCCCCGAAAATAAGACCTGCCTAGACAATAAGCCCAGTCAGCGCGTGTGCTAAAATAAGCCGTTCCCCAAAAATAAGCCCTCCCTGAAAATATTTAAACACGCAGCTGGTCCCCACCATTTCCTCTGGTTGCTTGCCGTACAAACCACACGAGATAAGGAGATGAGACTGGAGTGGGGGGAAGGAGGGGGAACATGCCCCATGCATCCCACACACCCTTATCTAATGGCTGCTCCTATAACCCTAGCCACTGCACCTCTTCTGTCACGCTAATGGCCACTTCAAAAAGAGCAGCAGGCCCAGCAACGTGCCTCGCTGCCACAGCAGTGCAACACAGCAGCAGCCATGTGGTGACCACACTTGCCACCTCCTGCACCTCAAAAATGATAAGATCTCCCTGAAAATAAGACCATTCGTTTATTACAGGGGTCAAAAGAAAATAAGACCCTGTCTTATTTTCAGGAAAACACGGTAGTTAAGTCTAAAAAAATTAGTTCAATGCAGCTACTATTATAAAAACGTGGTCTGTTTTTGCTAGGTTTAGTAAGAAACTGCATTTTTAAAATAACTGAATTTAGAAATGAATATTGGAGGACAAAGAAAATGAATACAATGGCTGAGGTTTATGCTCATTATAGACTTTAACTAAGAAATATGAAAAGTGTCAACAAGCTTCTATGAGGGAACAGATACTCTCTCTCAATGCACCTTTCTATATCATCCAGTCCAGCAATTACATAATCAAATCTACAGATATCTCATGCATGATCTGTTTCATTTTAGGGCTTGATCCAAAAACAATGATTGATTTAACTGAGCTGAAAAATAGCAAAGCATTAAAGCAACAACAATACAAGGCTGAAAATCAAGTCCTGCTGAAAGAGGCAAGTAATAATTTTCACTTAACATTTTTTTCTAAAAATTAAGGCACAAAGTAATAATGCCGTTTAAATTCAATGCAGATTGAAACATTAGAAGAAGAAAGAGTTACTCTGAAACAACAGATCCGTAAATTAGCTCAGGAGAAAGGAAGAAAAGCTGCAATTTTAGGTAAGCTGGTACTTATTTTTTTAAAAAATAATTTAGCAATGAGATAAACAATTAATTGGTTATTTTATCATTCCTGGATCAATCTAAAAATATTTTCCAATATTTTAGAATCAGACTGAATAATTCTATTATTTAATAATAATAAAGTCGCCCAGAATCACTTTGAATAGTGAGATAAGCATCGTCCAAATTTAATGGAAAATAAATAATTTCTTAGTTTTATTACACACATTACAATATGATGTAGTATTTCATTGTGAACACAGTATTTTCCATCAAACTACATGGAAAAGAATTTGCTAAATCTTAGTACTGTGTCTGATCTGTTGCTATATGTCTTTTTATTCAAGTAGTTTTAGTTCTATAATCTAATCAGGTTAATCAGTGTTAATAGTTCCCGCCTCTACTTTATGTGACTCTTCACTTACTTTGCACAGTGGGATAAAAGTTTGAGCTGTTATTTTTTTATATGATGTTGACATCTCCTGTCAATCTAAGAGAGCCAAACATTGAGGATTTTTTTATATTTTCTTTGGTAAACTTTCTATTTCTTAACTTTTACTTCTCAGATCTGCCCGAAGTTAATTTTGTCTGAAAATTTTGTTCCAAATAGGACTGGACACAGATGATCTACAGCTGATTGATAATTTCACTGAAGATTTAAAGATGAAAAGAGAGAGATCTGAGTTAATGAGTACATCTAACTTTGATAAACTTAAAACCAAGGTAGCCATTCTTTTGAACTTCCAATTTGACTGAATTTATGAAAGCATACAGTTTAACACTGTTAAACACTGTTTCATAATGTGTAATACTTTGTTATTTCGTTAGGTGGATGAGTAGAATATTAAGCATTGTTCATTTTGAGAATTACAGTATATATAAAAGAGAAAAGAAAGCATACTTTAGGGTAAAATAATTTCTTTTTCTTTTTTTATTAGTTTTTTTTTATTTTCAAAACAAACACTACAGATAAAATCTTCTTTTTTTACATACTGTAGAAAGTGTAGCAGTTGGTTACAAAAGACTTTCATGCATCTCTTCCACAGTCATCAAGCATAAGTCATATTATCTCAAGAATTTTAACTCAGATATTTATTCAAGTTTCCGTCATCCTGCCGCCATTTTCA